GGGCAGAGACTATCATCTTAACATGGAATCAAGAGTTGGAAGGATGGCAACCTGATCATTCGATAGCTTCCATATTCTCCCGGATACGCCGAGAGCTTGTTTAACACTTGGTCTATTGAGAAAAGCGTCCGGCTGAGTGGATGACAACATTCGAAATTGAGACCTGCAACGACGGCTACATCTCCCGGTTGGAAAGCGAAAAATTCGAAGTCTCCCCCTGTTCGTGCGCGTACATCGTATCTGGAGAAGAATTATTAGCCCACATGATGGGAATATTCCGGAGAACATAGAGAAATTACAGATGATTTCGAGGAGTCTGGTCGTCACGAATTCGGGACAACGAAGGTCAACACTCAGATCCCAACCCACCCACTTACATGCTCTTGCGTGCTGCGTCCATACGGTTCATCGTTAATGCTTCACAGGTATCAAAAGCTTCTTGGCAGAAAACTGCGAGGAACAGAGCATGACTGTCGAGAGTGCTCAAGGTACGGATTACCCACCGGGCTTAGCAGGCTTCCCAGGTCCATTAGAATTGCACTTGTCGACAGCTGCTTTACAGACCCCCAGGCCAGTCTTCATTATATCGAGCCTGAGAGAATTATACGACCAACGCTAGATGTGGAACTGGGACTCCTTCTGTGGTAGAAGTTGCCGATCCCTAACCATCTCGTAAGCTCCGTGATATCTGACAAGATGAGCCAGGCAACAATGTCAACTCGGAATGAATGGATTGCATACATCTCATACGGTCCAACCGTACCAGAAAGTATCATCACTCCTTTCAAATCGATCTTGAGCCGAGGATTCCGCAGAATGCCCTCTCCCAACATAGCAACGGCGAGAGCTGCAAGACGGTATCACCCGAACTATCAGCTCAGCATGCATACCAGACCATGAGAGTCCGACGAGGTGTACATTCCTATTCAAGTGAGGGTATTTCTTGAATAACTGGCCGCTTAAGGTGACCCTGTGGACCATCATTGTGACGTGTATATTCTCTGGTCTAAAGAATACTTACATGTTGTCTATAAACTTCTCCAAGGTGGACTCTATCGGGCCCACGCTGAAGCCGGTAGGTCCAGGTGCATCGATCCAAATGCCGTTGGCTTGCTTAGTCCACGAGTATCTAACTCCGAACGGTCACATTGCGTGACACCGCACAAAGGCATTCGCACGTATTATCCAGAAGCTCTTCCCCGTTAGGAGACATCCTGCATGGTCCATTTAACATCATGGCCTCTCCCAAGCTGCTACTGCCCGGTTCACCGGCCATATACCAGAAGGTCGGCGCCAATGATGGATCTACGTCTTCGGCTTCCATGACCGCATAGAAGTACCTAAAGGCAGCATGACCTTGATTTTCACTCCGCACGCTGAATATACTTTTTCTTCCTAAACACGCCAATGGTTATGTATCCGGCTTCCAGTTTACCCTTGCTGTACGGACACAAGACCCCGCCGCCATTCAGAGAACGAAGATGGAGAAACGCGGGCGTCTCACCTGAAGATAATCGATGGACGGTCACGGCCCGAGTTCGAGCATGGTACTTTCGTTCCCAAGGCCGCTGGCATCAGTGATTGCTACTGTGTAGGCGAAGGCGGCAATCAGAGCGATAATCATATTGATGAGATACAAATGATAACGGGCCCGATGATTTATGAATAGAAC